CCACTCATGCTCATTCACAACGACCGAGAGACTAATCCAGCCCACTCATTAGGCTCGATAACTAAATAATAAACGCTCACGTGCACACACACACACACGCATACGTAATGCATACATATATTCATACATACATACACGCACACACACAAGCTCATTATTTTGTAAAAACTGGTTTGGTGGACGCGGGAGACGAGGTGGGGACTGAGTGCTCTTTCTCGAACCCATTATTTTGGGAAGGAGGGAGGTGTGGGGAAGAGAGATAATGAGAAGAGATGGGGGTAAGCAGAATTAAGGAGGGAATGTGTCGCAATGGTTATCATTAGTGTACAGGTGCAGGAAGAAGTCCTTGGGTCATATACTAGCTGTTTGGGTGGTTATTCACATCTTACTTTGTTATAACCTTCACTGTCCAGTTTTAGTGCAGGAGGAAACCATAATACCCAGAGAAAATCTGCGATGTTTGGTAGGGTTACACTGGATAACAACTTTCTCACATCTGACCTGATTTGAGAGTTAAACCCAGGACATATTTGTGAGAGGTACACATTAACGCTGTACATACTGTCAACACCCCAATTATTTTCCGTCAAATTTAATTTAAAAGAATATCCCCCAACTGACTCTACCTTGCTACTGGGTGATCTTTATTTTGAAAGTACTGTACAGTATTTCATGTATTATTTTATTGATTTACATTATTTTGAAGGATATTACTGTATTGCTTTTAATAATTTAGTTTTATTTACTAGTTTGATATGAATTATGAGAGAAAAATATCTTATACTTGTGTAGTTTCAAATAATTTTTATGATTTGGCTTTTATTCTTTTTCTTTAATACTGTCTACTGTACTGTACCGAACTGTATTCTTGATGAAGACAATAGTGTGAATGTTTCATCTGGCTAGTTTAGCAATACAGTACTGTATTGGTGTAAAGAGGTAGGCTGTGGGGGAAACAGTCGTACTTGTTGAAGCCGAATTTCAAAGCCTAGATAAGAGTTACATTTTTTTTCTCTCACACACACACACTCTCCTCTTCACCACTGATCGGCTCATTACAGTAGCCGCTTGGGCAGTCGGTCACGTCTCTGTTACTATAATAGAGACGCTGTTGGCAAGTACTGGGCATGTAGTGACTTGTAGGGGTATCGAGATATTAATGTTGTCTCGCACTCAGGATGGATGGAAACTCTAAGGTGGTTTTCTTGTATAATATAAGCTATATGATTTACAGTCCGGTGCTGGAGGTGCCGTGTGGTGAGGAGCTGCTCAGTAGAGACGTTCGGTGAGTAGCGTGTCGAAGGAGGTAGATGTGCAGGAGCTTCGTTAGAGAAGATGTTGCCTGTTGCTGGCCTCCTCGTTGAATGAATGCTGACAGCGTGGAGTTTGCTGGAGGAGGTGTTGCTTGTTCAGGAAGATGGGCAGAATGAGAAAGCTGGTTGGTGGGTCGCCATGCTCGCTGGCGGGAGCGAGGACCACCAGGCAGGCGAGGAGGAGCGAGGGCAGCCAGGCAGCGGCGGAGGAGGAGGTGTTGCTTGTTCAAGAAAAATGGTCAGAATCAATCTCACTGGAGAGACAGAGCTTATATACCCAGCAGCAGCGATGAGTCATGTTGGGAAAACCCGAGAAGTCGCCGGTCACTAGTTTCGTTGCTAAGTTACGGTAACATCTGGTTGGTTGCTAGGGAAGGCGGTAGCAGGTGGTGGCTGTGGCTACGCAGTTGTAGGCAGTTGTAGGGGAGACGTCCACTACAGACTCCTGAATGTGCCTGAACCTGCTCCAGTGTTGGTCAAGTCTGGTCTTGAAACAGTTCACATTCGGTGCCACCACAACACACTCTGGCAGGTTGTTCCACGAGAGCACAACTCTCACTCCGATAATGTTCGCCTTCACAGTTTTCGGACTTGCGGCTTCTTCAACCTTGAGCTGTGACCCCTTGTGGGGTGAGCGTCCACCAGCTCCAGGTAAGGACACTCAACTGAGTAGTGCCCTCAGAGATACACCTCAATTAGTTCCCCACCCCCCTTGCCTGTCTGTGTCTGTAGTATAATCTCTCTGGCTAGCTGAGGTGCCGAAGTACCGGCACCAGTTTGGTGGCCCTCCTTTGTACATTTTCCATCAACTGACAGTCCTTAGCAACCAGACGGGGTGACAGTACTCCAGGCGGGGAAGTACTCGACTCTTGAAGGTCGTTACAAGGGACGGACCGTCTAGATGTCTGAACGACCTTCTTATGAGATCTATTAATTTAGTTGCTTGGTTTACCTTCTCACAATGGCCCGAGAACTTCAGTTCGTTGTCAACATACACTCACCCAGGTCCTTTTTGGATTCAATCTCGGTTAATGCAGTGTCTTCTTCCCGTTGGGACACACGATACGCTTCCTTACCATTGGTACGTCCCAGGTGCATCCTCTTACACTTCATGACATTGAATATTAGCAGCCATTTCTTCGACCATTCTTCAAGTTCACAGAGTTTGCTTTGCAACTCTTCAAAGTGTGTTTGGTTCTTAATTTCCCTAAATAACATGGCATCGTCATTTATGAAGCGAACAAACAATACACTGCCCTGTGGTGCCCCGCTTGCCACGGGTACACATGACGATTTCGTGCCATTAATCATCACAAACACTGCTTGCGATCATGGGGAAAGTCTCCGATCCACTCTAGGACACTTCACTGAATTCCGTATCCTTCCAGTTTAATTTTCAGTCTTTCATGGGGTATGCTGTCGAATACCTTGGCAAAATCTAGGTGTATAGTGTCGATATTGCCACCCTATTCCAGAATTTGGATCCAAACATCCAGTACCTTGAGTAATTGTGTTAAGGAAGGTTGTTTCGTTGTAGTTGTTTCATTTTGGCATCTCTTATAATGCTCTCAAGTACTTTACACACTATGCTGGTCAGGCTCTGTGGTCTATAATTATTCATAGAGTGTCGATCACCTTTCTTGAAAATAGGACTCACATGGGCCATTTTCTAATCACTGGGGACCTTTTGCTCGTCCAGGCATTTACAGAACAGGATCTTCAGGAGCTCAGCAAACCCGTTGCACAACCCTCATAGCACTCGGGGATGCACCATGTCAGGGCCGGGACTCTTATGAACTTTTAGCTTTGACAATTTATATCTTGAACCTCTTCTGAGAACACAATGTGGGTCAGTGCTGTGTAACCATCTGTTCTCAATCACAGGAAGATTGTTTGCATCCTCCCTTGTGAACAGCGCCTCTGCTTTGTCCTGGTCAGAATCTTCAAAACTACCATCTTCAAGCCTCAGGTCTGATTCACCTACTCACGATTTTAATTTTGACTTTGCATTGTGGTTAAAAGCCTTCGGGTTTGACTTGACCTTGTATAGATATGTACATACCAAGATATGTGAACACGCCTGACACCAGGACTCTTGTTACCATTCATTGTACCATTTATTCACATGTCTGTATTACTACATATTATTATAGCATGTCTGATGTCCATGCTTATGTCTAATGCCTATGTTCATTTACTATGTCTGTACCGCGCTAGTCGAGTAATTAGAAGACCTCATTTATTGTCCTAGGAATGTCTAGCAACTCCCCTTGCCTGGCTAGCTAATTTCCCTCAGATCGGCCTCGGCCTACCTACGGTCCGGGGTCCCTAGTAACCGCTCCTGTATCGGTTGGCTATCACGCCCAGTCTTGTACACTTATTGAATATATCTACTGCTCGTGCCCTGGAGTTTCAAGAACCTTGTCTAGGATTACATCCACCACACCACAGACCTCACTTGCAATCAGCCTCTTAAACTTCATTTCAGCCCTTCTCCACTCTGACTTTGATTGGTTCCTGGATCTGGTATACATCCTCCTGTACTGTTCATCGTTTGTCCTAACCCACGTTTTGAATTTCTTGGTTTTCTTCTTAACTTTGTCGACCACCGCATGGTTCATGTGTAGCGGTCTCTTTATATTCCTGGAGGCACTGGGTTTGGTCTTGGGGATGCCTGTACAGCAAAATGGAAATAATAACATAAACAATAGTTACAATACACCGGTAATGCAATTCATTTTGATTATACTGTAGATTTTAAATCTCAAACGTTTCCTAAGTAGAATTTGATTTTAGAAAAATGTGGGTAAATAATGCCTAGAAGGAAAAATGTAGAAAACACTTCTTAACTAGATAAAGGAATTAGCTGAAGAATTTTTAAATATCATATCTTGAGCCAGACAATTAACAAATTGGTAATATGGGAAGACTGGTTTGAGGGAAAACACACACACACACACACACACACACACACACACACACACACACACATATATATATATATATATATATATATATATATATATATATATATATATATATATATATATATATATATATATATATATATATATATATATATATATATATATATATATATATATATATATATATATATATACGGATCTACTAATATTCTATACAAGGTTTACCTATATTAGTATAATTATTATTTTTTTTTACTATTTTTGTTTTTGCAAGTATTAAGATATTTTTATTTAGGGTTTAGATGATATTTATACTTTTACAATTTTACAATTTTATATTATATTTTTAGGTTGTATTTGGTGGAGATTAACTTCCTATAGTTCTAGCAATGATGTTATAGCATACTGTATATATAATGAAAAGAGAAAAGTGCAGTAGGCCTAAAACAAAGTTCACTGTAAAACCAATAGGAGTAATACAGCAGGTACAGTACAGGTATCTATTATGTATAGTATACAGCCATGATGCTGTAGGCCAAGACTGGAGGGGAGTGATTTTCAAACATGGAATGAGTTTTATGATTTTTTCTATAATGACAATCATTCTCAAGAATCAATAAGCAACAGGTGACTGAAAAAGAAAGTTACACACAATGAGTAAAGATGACTAGGGATGCTTGAATTGATTCAGAAAGGTTGATGATTGATATAATATTATTACTGCAGTTCAATAACTAAGGTTTTTAAGCACGTGACAAGGTTAGTGTCAAGCTTTCTATGCTCATTTTTATTTAAATTTCCCAAAACAAAAATACCTTCAGGACAATCTCAGCCAAGCAGTGTGGACCTTTCTCCCTAATTCCTTCCTGTTAGGCTTCTGTGACTCAGACTTGAAACTTAAGCTACTAACTTGAACCTTGAGCTCTTTGGATTTAAACCTGACATTTGAAACTGGCATATTATACTTTAGAATCATTCACAATTATGAAATACAGTACTACAACTTAATACAAGAAACAAATATAATTGACTAATTTTCTGATAAAGCATAGCACCATGTTTTTTCACACATAAAACATTTTTCTTATAATCTAATACTTTTCATATAAAAATGCTAATTAAGATTATTACATAAATACACTAAAGACTTCAATTCCTACTAAGTGGGTAGTCTATGACTTATTCTCCATTGGTCTCATTTTCCCATCAGGTTCTTTTAATTACTGTATCAATTTCTTCCTCAAAATAATCTGTGAATATTAGTAATTTCATTATAAAACTAACTTTTATGGCTCAAACCTTTCTTACCTCAAACAAAAGCCAAAATAGCTTGTCTTTCCACGTGTCTGATCTCGCTTGCCTTCTCTCGCCATTGTTCCCTGTTCCTACTCATGAGGAAAGCATCAGTCGTAGATGAAAAATGGACCAACTGCTCACTCTGTTAAAAATTACGTACTGACAAATCTAGATATCCCGTATCACTTACCGTACTTTGTCTCTTCAGTGATGACCATGTAAGTGAAATTCTTAATCACTTACATTGAAACCTCTATATAACAGACTCCTATCTCCATACAATTCATTAGATGGGGGATTCATATCTATATATATATATATATATATATATATATATATATATATATATATATATAGATGGAGGTTTCATATCTTGATGTAATTGACTTTCCTCTCCATATAGTATTAAATAGAGATTTCACTGTAGTTAATTTTACTTATACAGTATACAGTACAGTACTGTACTTGTGTACTAAACATACCCGGTACCTCAATCCTTACTCAATTGCACAACATAATTACGAAGACATATTTACCATAATAAACTAACTAAACATAAACATCTCTTATTGTGTAAAGAAATTTGTACTGTATTTGTAAAACTAGAAGAAAAATTACACAAGTTGTGTTTTCTTATCTTTGATGACGTACCTGTAATAATCTAAATTGTACAACTGACATTCATTCACCTTCAGGGGAAAACAGAAAAGGAATGACATACACTATTTTCCCATTGATATTTGAGCATGAATAGCTAAATTAACACCTGTCACAATCAAGGCACTATATTAGTAATTGCACTACTGTAGTCCATCAACAATAAATACATACAGACAGTATATGCAAAGGTAACTCACAGCATAATTTTAATAGGAATGTAATTGTATAGATAATGGAATGTGAGCACCTAAAACAATAAGCACTGTATATATTGTACAGTATAAAGAACAGGAATGCAGTGAGTATGATTGTCCAAATTTTAGGTAGAAACTAAAACTCTTAAGAACATGAGTGCAAATGTAATACAGTACTGTACTGTTAATTAAGAAGTTTTGCATGAGCAGCTATAGTGCACAATACATAGAATACAAAGAAGACAGAAGTGAATATATATAAGAGAAACCTGTCTCCTTTTTAATAAGTGAGAGATTATATCAGCTTGGACAATATGATGATAAAAAAAAAAGTCAGTGGAGTACAGTCTCTGTATAACTAAATTTGCAGTCTACACACAGCATTAAATATTGAGACACCTGTTCAATGAGGAATAGAGCACATACAGGCAAAATACATTAAAATATAACCAGGTTAGAAAACTCAGTTAAAATGAGTGCCTGTAGAGTAACTTTACAAAACTACAGTACACATATAGTCATATTGGCCACAGTACTGTACTGTATAAGTATGTTTGATAAATTTAAAATTTGTTTAAATACACTAGGATGATTGAACACTTTGGTGAGTTCTGATATTAGACAAAATATATGGACCTAAATATCAGTACAGTGTACCTTGCCTTTAGTTTCACAACCAAATTTTTCCTTTTTGAAGAAAATACAACTGAATATTTTTTTTTTACAAATTCATGATTCATTCTTCTTCGTGTAGTTGGGTTGAGACTATTTCCCTTTTTTTCTCTACAAGCAACCATCTGTAAAAAAGAAAAAATCATGATTTTAACTTCATGACTGACATACCTACCCTGGGCACAATTTAAAGTAACCGTGTTTTGTACAGTATTTGTTAAGCATCTATGTGGAGCCTTCTGTCGACTGTCCCAAAGGTTGTATAAACCTCTTGTATTGATGTTTTTGGAAGTTTTCACTTAATAAAAAAAAAAAAAAATGCGCCCGATTTTCAATCTCAGAAACTCGTTCACAGGATTTTTCCAGAAATACTACAAATGGTTACAGAAAACTCTAAATTGTGATTTATACAAAGGGTACAAACCGAGCTAATAGGTAGGTATAAAATACCATTTATTTATTTACTTTTTTTCTTATTGTGAATAATGTGAAATCTTGGGTATGATGTGATATAACACTCCAAATCCTGCGGTGTTAGCTCATAGAGTGTTGATACAATGTTACTCATTGGTTACCGGGGTTGTAATCTGTTAATCTGATGTGGTGAGTAAGGTTGAATCAGCTGCTAGGAGTCAGCTATCTAATTTTATATAGCATCTTTGATCAAACAGTTCCCTAATTATTACATAATGAAAGATTATGAGCTGAATAATCAATATTGGTGAGTGGAGATATTGTAATTTAGGTGTAATTTTATTTTGTTCTGCTTAATTACAAGAGGTAGGTCTTAGATGAGCCTATAAAGTTTCATAAGTTCATTGTTAATAATATGTAATATAATGAAAAAGTATTCATTTAATTATATGTTCAATACTTGCACCTAAATATTAAGCGTACTGTACTCTGGTTGTCAAGGGAGTGTGTGATGACAAGGATATTGTTTTAAGTACAGTATACATCTGTACTGTATTGTACTTCGAAAGCATGCCAAGATAATCATTGAAATCAATAATGATGACAAAAGTAAACTCTGTGATTGACCCTGGCCCACATGCTGCTTTTGTGTATAACATGATAAACATCCATACTACATTAATTAATCTATGAGAGCATGAAAAGTATCAACATTTGCCAGACCAAGTAATGAGTAAAATTTTATCAAGTTGCTTTAAAACATTCTGGTCCCAGGCTGCCATGTGTGTGCACCTCAAGTCTCGCCAAAGTAACTCGGAGGTTTCAAATTCACGAGTTGATACTCTCGGGCCTTACACCTCACAGAGAGAGGGTGGATTGACAACTGTATTGTACTACCATCCTATCTATTCTACTCTTCAGTTCTATATACAAAACCTAAATCAGCATGCAGGAAGAGAGTACTGTACCAGTACATCCTTGCTATTGCACTCATCTTTTTGGCAATTAGCACAAAGCACTACACAATCATACTTTTCTAGTGTGCAATTTTTCAAATCTGCAGCAGTTGATTAGATTAGATGCTACTACCATGACAAAGTATGCATTTTAATAAAATTCCAGTAAATGAAACCCTACTTAGGATATGAGAAAAATATTACAAAGTATAAAAATCATATATGTACTGTACTTACATGAAAATAACAGTAGTAACCCCAAGGAAGGTGGCACTCAGGAAGTATATAGTACCAGGGTAATCCTCTATGGTGGCATTATAAACAGCTGTATACAATGGGTGTGACACCAGAGGTAAGATGGATTCCCAAAAGGCCAGCATAGAGAAAACTTTGCCTAGTTCATCTCGAGGAACGATCTTGCTGATTATGGACCGAGAAACAACCAATGCCAATCCTCCTACAGATGAAACAACACTTGCTGCAAAAGAAAGTTATGTGTAATCATAGGCAACAAATGTTTTCATTTATACGTATTACGGTTCCTGAAGAAGAATGCAACTGCAAACCAGTATTAATAAGGAGTTTCCTGTCCTGCCTGTGGGTAGTGAATTTTATGCAGTGCCAATTGTAATAATTGCAAACCCGACGAAAGACCGACTCGCAAGATGAAGCAGAAATACTGTACAGTATATGCACTGGAACCTACTTAGTAGCTAAAGAGTGTTGTGTACAGGTGCTTTCCTCTCCTAGGTTGAGCCTTGTGATTTCTAAAATGGTGTGAGGTTTATACTGTACTTGACAATATACCCTAAACAGCAGTGGTTCCCAAACTGGGATTGGTGGGGCGGGGGTGTCATGTGAATTACATACACTGTACATTGGCATTCTGTTTTCTTTATTAGTAAATTTTTAATAGAATTGTGTTAGAGTGCCAACCTGGGGGATAATTAAAGGCCACATCCATAGTCTGTTCATTAGCAAAGGTGACAAGGGGGGGGGGACAGACACGTTCACACGGCGTGGCGTCTGAGCCGGAACAAACTCCCGTCGTTGGCGGATCCATACACTCTTGCCAAACCGGCACATACCCCAACAAATCGTGTAAGATTAATCTTTCTTTCTTAGTATATAAAGGTATTTCAGTCTTCCCCATATGCATGAGATACTGTACATGGATATAATAATAACTGTACAAGTTAATTGATCTTGAAGTAAAATAAATACGAGTACTAGGTGTAAAATCTGTCAATTTGTGGCATTTCTCTTGAACGATGGTGATGTTTTAAGACCACCTCCTCATTTACGATAAAAAATATTCGCACGAACAATGGTCATCATCTGGCTGAAGTGCAAAATGCTACTGTACAGGTATCCCTTGTTTAACAATTAGGATGCTTTCCCGAAAAACCCATCAATGCGAAAGAATCAATTAACAAGGGATAACGAGAAATACGGTACAGGTAATAACGTAAATGAGAAATAACAGGGGGTATATCTGTGGAGATGGTAAATAATTGTGTAGCAGTTTTCGACTCTCCACCCAGTAGCACTCGGAGTGGATGAGGCCGAGATGTGAGCTATGTTATTGTTCAATACATAATTTCGTGTACAGGTAGATGAAATTTTTTTTGCTCTGTTACATGCACACACAATTGTTCAAACAGAATGTGCATAAAAAATAATAATAATTATGATACTGAACAGTCAAAAACATAAGAGAATAAAATTTATCATGTCCGCGGAAGTTAGTGTTGGACCCTGGAACGGGAAGGGAAGGAGCAGGAATGGGATGCAGTATCAGGGGAACTCGGCCTCCCCGAATCAGGTCAAGCTGTGAGTTGCATTATTGTTCTTTTTCAACTTGTAGCTTGGGTTGATTTTTTTTTTTTTAGTTACATGCATATGCAATCGTTCATACATACTGTGGAATAAAAATTATAAAATTATCATGACAAAAACATAAAATGAATGGACATTTCTTACAGACATTGGAGTTAGGCTTCAGAGTTCAGGGGTAGTGGGGATGGAGGATCTCTCAGTTGTTCTCTGTCTTGTGTCTCATGAAACGATTGCCGTGTGGCAATGCAGTATTTTTCTATTTTATTTATTACAGGGTATTTCTTTTTTATTCGTCACATTTACTGTGATTGTGAAATGCTTCTGTTCTTTTTTTTTGTGAAAAGTGGATTTGCTGTTTTTGTGACCGTGAAGTGAGCGGTGTACAGTAATTTGAAAATGTGTAGCAAGCTGATGCTGAAGACTCCTGCATATGAGAAGGCAAAGGCACTCAAGAAAAGCATCTCTGGAGTTGAAGCTTGACATTGTCAAGCTGCTAGGCTTGTTCTCAATGATGTGGTGAGTGTTGTTTTATATTTATTTTATTCGTGTGGAATTTTTTCAATATATATGTGGGTGATGAACTGGCCTGGCAAGTGTCTCATTGAACCTCATGTTATAATGATCTCGATTTACAGTATTTTGACTTGTGATGGGGTTTTCAGGAAAATATCCCTTTATCCTAAATCAGGGGATACCTGCACGGTATATTATTACAAGTATTATTAATTCCTTGCAGTGATGTTAAATTCCAATTGTACTCAATGACTGATGAGGAATCCCTATTACTGTACAAATAAGTTGAGTTTAATTGACGAATCATATTTACTAGAGCTCAAGGGAATTATAGCACGGGACCCCAAATTCTGCATGTTTAACTTCCCTGCTGTGAATATCATCACTGTTCAGTTTTGTGTTCAGTATAGTCTTAAACAGATGAATATATTAATTTAATTCACTTTGTCACTTCCATCCTACATGGGTACATGAGAAGATGCATTTCCTTACCTAAATAGAAAAACCAAGAGTAAGGTGCACACCCTTCTAGAATGTGGTGAACAATTTCTGACAAACAAGCCACAATTCCCAATGTGGCGTCACTAACTTTAAGCCGGTAACTGAGCAGTGGTGGAAAGACAGCCATTGCTGAAAGAAATAAAGAGATATTATATATTACACCATTGTGATTAAAAAGTGGGGTTTGGGGTTGGAGATCCCTTCTCCGAGTACGGAACAGAAACCTCCGGCACGGGTAAAATTTCCGTAGTTGCCATCGGAAAACCAAGTGGATGTTGCGAATGCGAGTGAAATGTAAAAGCTGTGACTGAGGAATGCAACAGAATGAATGAGGCAGAGGCATGCAAGAATATGTAAAACAAAGTAGAGTACTGTACAGTAATACAAACTTTGTATGGAATGAAATAAAGGGTAAGAGGTTTACTTCACATGATGGGGGGAGTGGTACCATGAATGAAATAAAAATATGAGAGTTAGCTTGTTGGTATGTGCTTTTTTGAGCAACTTATGAGATTCACATTGGATCAGTGATATTGTGTAACTGTCATAATTATGTAAACCATATGATGATAGTGACATCAAAGAAAGATTATGGAATAAGAGATAAAAAACATTGCAAGTATAAATGTATGAGAGAGATGACAGAAAGGTTCCATCTGAAAGCACATTTGACTTAAGGCCAAATAATGTGAATCAAACCAATGATAGAGGTTTAGCTGCTCATATACAGTATTGTTAGCATACTAGATACAAATCAAGTCACAGTGGTTTGGAACAAGAAGCATAGATGAAAAACAATTACACTGAGACTTGTTAACTTATAGGATAATTGTATGAAATTTTATTTTCGAGGGAAGCTGGGCAAGAAAATGATTATTACAAATTGTAACTAAATAAACCATACAGTGTATATTGCCAGGACTTATCCATAACAGGCACACTGCAATACACTATCTCGACTTAACCAAAACATATAAACTCTAATTCTTGTATACTGCCTGGACTTAACCACATGAAACACTGTAGAATTGCATGCAGCTCGGTCTTACCTGCAAGGCTTGCGAGTTTTCCGACAACTTTTAGGTGGGTATACTCTGTGTAGTCCCAGCCAAATTTGAGCTTTATATACAAGAAATCCAAATTCCTGGAACCTGCAAGAATGCCATAACTTTATATAAATTTGTATGACTGTACAAAAATAAAAGCAACACAATTTATTTCAATACAGTATAAAGTAAATGGGAAGTGAGGGATTAATCTCCAGCAAACAATACTATGTATGAATAGGGGCTCGGGGAAAGAAAATGCTGCCGGTGGATGACGTCGGCTCGAGTAAAGTGACACGGGTAAACCGAATTTGGAGCACGGTTATAGATGGGAGGTACAGTTGCGGAAATGCGTTCCCACACCGCCGCGGTATCCCGTCTCTCTAAACGGCACCGTCTCGGATGCAGTTTCGCTATTTATGAATGAATGGGTTCGGTCGTGTAACAATGCACGTGATTGGTCGATAAGTTTGCCATAGGTCGTATAGGTTGGCCGTTTGGAAACGCGGGGTTACCACGGGGGGGCGTAGGAACGCACTTCCGCAACCGTGCCGTAGTAATCTGCGGACTTGTCTTCTACAATAGTGACGGTGATGGGAAAGACTGTTTGTTAGTGTGTGGATGTGGGGGGGGAGTGGTGTGACCTCTCTCCATTGGTCAAAAATGGAGAGAGAGGGTTAATAAAATAGTTCCACTATCCTGGTAGAGAATGAATATTATATATTAATAGTTGTACTTATAAGAATTAGATATGAAATTATATATCACAGGATGAGTAAACTCATGCAAAACTATCTACATTAAATAAAGGACTAAAATAAATAATTGAAAAGTACAGTACAGTATTGGCAAAAGCTATTCAAAAGTAAATGACAAGAGTATATTCTAGTTCAAATTTTAGAGATTATTCTTTAGAAGGCATAGTTAATTGGTGGTCAGTTGTATTTGCAAAATAATGTACTCTAAATACTGTTGAGATAAAGATACAGTACTGTAGTCTCTCTTAACCAGACATGTCTTAATAGAAAATCTGCAATCTACTACATGTAATAAATAAAGTCCAGCACAAGGTGTTTTCTGTACAATTTCACTTCTATATTTTCTTATGGTTTCATCTCTGCAGATTTTATTCCTTATCAATTGTAGGGCAAAGGTTTTTTGGCTGAACGAAATTGTCAGGTGTCAGCTAGAATAATACAGCATACCTTTAAGTGCACTGCTGCCCTCTAATGGGTTAATATATAGTGGTTTGGTTTTGATTATTTTGACAATTGCCTAATTAAAATCTGGAAAATATCCAGTTGTGAGACTTGTTTGGTTAAGGAAGCTTTCTAAAGTACAGTAACCATAATTCTCACTTAATCAGACTGAATGCTCACCAATTAATGTACAGTACTATAGTTAAGGGAGACTTCAATGTGTATGAAATTTTAAAACTGGAAAAAGACTTATCAACATACCAAAAACAATCTGAAAAATACACAAGGTTCCCATCATCAGAATTATTTTTCCCCGTCCTTTGTTTGGTCGCAACTTCTTGACAACAAGAACTGTATCTTTGACATTCTTCATATCAAAGAGACCACTGCACATATTCCTTGGTAAAGGAACTAGCTCATTGTATTTTGAGAATGGACCACGAGTATCTTCAATTCGAATAATAGCGTATATAATTGCAATTAAGAAAAACAGTGCACTGGCACCAAAGTTTCCGAGATATCCAGCACGATCGAAGAGGATGCCACCAAGGAAGAATCCAAGTGGAGACCCTAAGCTGAAGCCTAAGTTTAAAAATGCCATTCGCATTGTTCTTGTCCGTTCTCTGGTCATATCAGACATGTATGCATAACATGCCATGAAGTAGGTAATGGTGCCACCAGTTAAAGATATTGGAATACTAGCAAACAAGATGTACATTGCAGGAAGTTCAATCCAGTATGCATTTATCTGCAATATAAAGAGATTACTGTATTAAATTCTGGAAAAAAAGTTTCAACAATATTCTGAACTCTACTATAACCACCTCTCAAGCTGACAGGATATATAATCTAGTTTGAAGACACAGTAAAAATAATGCGATACATTTCATAAAACAGATACCCCGTACAGTGGTTGATCTCAAGATGTAGCAGAACTTGATTTATGATGGAATGAAGTCGTCTAGGGGAAATAATAACTCCATTTTCCTTGAAAATATAAGAAAACAATGGCTGTAAGAATTCAATTGACTGAAATACACTGCAACATGGGTGGATCCGTGGGGCTCTGGGGGTCCGACACCCACCCCCCCTCCCCTCAAAAAAAAAATTACAATACTTTTCTTTAGTGCAGTTTTGTATTGTACTCAGGCATTTTTGTATAGTTAAAAGTTATTCCTCTTGACTTCAAAATGGCCTCAAAATGCCGCCTTAACATAAAGTTCCAAATTTATGAAAGTATAATGGTGTGAGTTGACGTCGAGGGATGATTTGAACACGGGCAGTTATTAAGCGAATCGTATCCATTTGGGGATCACTGTATATATTGACACGCGAAGAGCTGCAGAAGGATCTCCGTGAGTTCCAAGAATGGTCGAAGAAATGGCTGCTGAGATTCAATGTTACGAATTGTAAGAGGATGCTCCTGGGGCGTACCAACGGTAAGGAGGCGTATCATATGTGAAGAAACTGCATTATTTGAATGTGAGAAGGACCTAGGTGTGTATGCTGACAATGAGCTGAAGTTCTCGGGCCATTGCGAGAAGAACGTAAATCGGGCAAATACATTATTGGGTCTTATAAGAAGGTCGTTCAGATATCTAGACTGTCCGTTCCTCGTAACGATCTTTAAGAGTGAAGTGCTTCCCCATCTGGAGTACTGGTCCCCGAGATATGCTAGGGACTGTCGGTTGGTTGAAAATGTTCAAAGGAGGGCCACCAGACTGGTGCCTGCACTTCGGCACCTCAACTACCCCGAGAGATTGGAGCGCCTGAACTTGCCTAGCTTATACTACAGACGGACAAGGGGCGACCTAATTGAGGTGTATAAGCATCTCGAGGGGCACTACACCACTCGGTCGAGTGTCTCGGAGCTGGCAGACGCTCGGCCCACGAGGGGTCACAGCTCGAGATCGAAGAAGCCGCAGGTCCAGAAAACTGCGAGGGCCAACTTTTTCGGAGTGAGAGTTGTGAACTCTTGGAACAATCTACCAGAGAGTGTTGTGACAGCACCGAGTGTGAGCTCTTTCAAGACCAGACTCGACCAACACTGGAGCAGGTTCAGGTACATTCAGGAGCCGGTGCATGCCCAGTACTTGCCAACAGTGCGTAACAGAGACGTGACCGATCGCCCAAGCGGCTAACGAGCCGATCAGTGGTGAGGAGGATAAGAGTAAATGTATTTATCTATGAAGAACTAATACATTACAATGAAATAATGAATTCAAAGATAAATAATGAATAGAACAAGCATAAAATTACAATAATAATAATGATACAAAAATCGAATAGAATGTGTTAATAGCTCACCATTATTATCAATGTGCTAAGGAAATTCCCAAATAAAGGGAGAATCATAGGTATTTTCCGTCCATGCTTATCACTCCATGACCCCAAGAAGAGTATAAAGATCACAGTTGGGATGCCGGTCAGAAGTCGTTCATACATTTTGATAGTAGAGACTACCTTTTGGGCGGCGGCATTTTCTTCAGCACGAGACGTCAAATTGGCACATATCTCGGTATCATTCTGCTGTTCTCGGCATACCTGTGGAATGGCGAGCGTGTACAAATGAAATGTACAGTGAAATACCTGTACTTGTACAGTATTTCAAAATATTAGTCCAGTAACCCCAATCCACTACTGTACTTACCCGGTATATCTGTGTCGGGCAAGGTGAAATTGTAGGAAATAGCGTAAATAAAGAATTAATGGGTGAAGATCTGCATTATAGATGGAAAAATCATTATGGAATGAATCTCTTCTTTTAACATGGGATCATATGGGAAAACGGCTCCCTTTTGATGATATTTCACCTTACAAACACTTTGTCATGGACATATCATATACAGTCAGACACACACACACATATCATTACGTACCTTAGTGAGCAACAAGTTGGTTCCAAGTGATGACTGGATGGCCCAGGCCATAATACCGAAGAACATCATGGGCTCTATGGTGATCTCCTGCAAAATTTGTCCCACTTTGCTGCTGCATTTTGTCCTCTGGTTGTCTTCCTCCTCTTCAATTATAGGTTCATCATCTCTGTATTCCATCCTGCATAAGTCTAAGATGAAAATAATTTATTCCTTTCCGAATTAAGTTATTTCAGTATTTAATGCCGTTGTTCTTTTAGTTAAGCAAAACAGTGTGGTCTTATTTTCTTATCTAGTCCTTATACAAGTGTGCAGTAGCTACTGTAATAATTTAGCACATTAAATGGTGTTTCAGATTTCCACTTCTGTAAAGAAAAAAATAGATTTTACACAGTATTCTTTATATAATTACACACACACACACACATGTGTGTGTGTGTGGAATCCATGACAAAACCCCAACGGGGTTGTTATTTGTCAACACTAACCTAACCTAAACATAATAGTGTTTTATTTTACATTTTATATATGAGACTGGGGTTTTGTCCGTTGGGGTTTTATCCGGTCACCATGTGTGTATGTATAGTATATGTATGTAGTATGTATGTATGCAATGCAAAACAATATTTAATTGAACAACATAATGGTAATAACCCAAAGAAAGGTTGTTTGTGTTAATTACAGGGTATATACAGTACTGTATATTTTATCGGTGGTGTTCATATACAATATTAAACTGTAATTACAATATTCACTAAATGAAAAAAAAAAGTTTGTTATTAAAACACTTTGGTTTCTTATAAAATAGCATTATTCGACTCCCATTCTTCCAGTTATTTCAAGCTATCAAGGTTCTACTGTGTGTGTGCACGCGCGTGTGTGCTGCTGTAGTTCTTCCAGTGTTTTTTTTTTTTTAAGGGGATTAGCCCACCTGGGTACAGGTCACTGACCCACATCGGGGCCTGGGGGGCGAAAATTTAAGAATAATAATAGTAATTCATAGTAAATAAAATTTATAATAAAAAGTAAAATAAAATAATAATAACAACACTGTAATGATGATAATAAAGAAAAAATAATAATAATCAATAGTTAGAAATGCTATATGTACAGTATGTTGTCTTGTCAATAGTAAGAGAAACAATTGAGACCCTGCAATTGTGTGTAAATGAGGCAGAAAGACAGATCAGCAACCTGGGACTCGGTCACAATATTCGTGATGCCATGTGGCAGCAGGGTCTACCATTAGACAACACATTATGCTTCCACATTTGCTATAATTGGACTCTGTGTACGTGTTGACGAATGTGAACTTGCAAGACATTTATACTGAATAAATATTTAGCGTATCTCGTTTGGTGGTATAGTTTAGGGGTGTTGGCGGCACAGCAGTAACGCGCACAAATTCGTCAATATTATATAGCGAGGGTTCGAGCCCCCGCTCGGACTCATACGAAGAACATAAGAATGGAGGAAACTGCAGCGGGCCTATTGGCCCATACTGGGCAGTCCCATTTACACCCAACCCCTATCGCTCATATATCCGTCCAGCCCACGTTCGAAGTTATCCAGCGTATTCGAGTTGATGACGACATTTGCTAACTTGTTCCACTCGTCCACTACTCTATTTCAAAACCAATGTTTACCTATTTCGTGCCTAAATCTGAATTTGTTTAATTTAAAACCATTGTTAGGAGTTCGCTCCTGGTTGGATAGTTTGAGTACCTTTGTAATGTCCCCTTTGTTCAGCCCCGACTTGCATTTATACACCTCTATCATATCGCCCCTCACTCTTCGTCTCTCGAGGGAGTGCAAATTAAGATGCTCTAACCTGTCGCTGTACTCAAGGTTCCTAATGCACGGAATTAGCCTTGTCATTCTACTCTGAATTCTTTCCAAGGATTCTACAGTATATTGTAGTGGACTTCTCCCCTACAACTGCGTAGCGGCGTCACCAGCTGCTACCATCTTCCCTAGCAACCAGGCGAGCGGCGACACCAGACGTTACCGTTACCTAGCAACGGAACCAACACGACTCGTAGAGGACTCACGGCTGCTGGGTATATAAGCTCTGTCTCTCCATCGAGATTCATTCTGGCATTCTTCTTGAACACGCAACACCTCCTCCAGCAAGCTCCATGCTGCCCAGCATTCATTCAACCAGGAGGCCAGCAACAGGCAACATCTTCTCTAACGAAGCTCCTGCACATCTACCTCCTTCAAACACGCCACTCACCGAACGTCTCTACTGAGCAGCTCCTCACCGCACGGCACCTCCAGCACCAGACTGTCTATCACATAACTTATATTATACAAGAAAACCACCTTAGAGTTTCCATCCATCCTGAGTGCTAGACAACATTATACCACGAATTCCTACAATATCCATTCTGTAATACGGTGACCAGAATTGAATTGCGTAATCCAAGTGAAGTCTCGCAAGTGCAATATGAGAACGGTGTTATCCAGTGTGACTTCTTTTCTTCTTCCCGACCAAACATCACAGCTCTCCCGGTCTCGGTTTCCTTCTGTACTAACAGTAACACTGGATAGTCCGCTCGAACGGCTACTAATCTTATAAGTGGTGAGAATTATATTAAAATAAAACGACCAGTGGCCCTGCGCCCAGCCTGGAACCGAATAAAGAACAATCTAGTCCTACGTGCAAGGGTATCATTATCCCACAGTCGCTTATTGGGCGGTTACAATTAGGTAGTACATTATGCTTCGAAAATCTTCCCAGGCGGTAGTAGTACCTCCCTGTATGGTGTGATGGGCCGAGTTTCCTCTTTTTATAATTTACCATCCAGATATTCTTTTCTGTTATGATTCTTCAATTCTTTAGTTATAAGTATACTTTAGATTCTTATACAAGTAATTCTCTTCTCAGTTATATATGTTGTTTATGTTAAACTTTCATGATGTATTTATTTAATCATTTCTATGATGTGTCGTTAGTTCCACCATGTACATATATGTCTCATCTTTCTTTTCTTGTACTTTCCAAGTCTTTCTTTTCTTTCATATATATTATATTCTCAGTTTCAATGTTCTTAACTTTCGGAAGTATACTTTGTTTTATGTCTATTCTTATACATGGGTTAGTCTGAGGAACCATGTTACTCTTAGTACAACACTTTTTATACTTACAAAGGGTAGCTGCCACCACCCAGACTTTTCATTATATAACATAACTCATGGAAGGGTTTTGGGTAGTGTGGTAGATGTATAGGCACGTGAGTAAGTATTCTTCTCTGGGAACCAATGTTTAGAAGGAGTAGAGTGGTGATACTCGTAGCTTACTAATTCAATATTTATTAACACCGTGAGTGGATAAGATGCATCTTAGATTCACTCAGACAACAAAACCGCAATTAACTTATTAAGTCATCAAACACTTCAAGAACTTATTACCTCATTAAACACCTCCAAATACTTATTACTTCATTAGACAATTGCAGTATTATTACCTTGACAAATGAGATTCCGTAACTATTATTCACAAGGTATCACTGGACCCTCAGGTCTTACTTTGACAAGTAACAAATTACCTCTTTAATTCTTGGTTAGAACATTATACTCTCAGGTTATTCTTTCATGGTCACTCCCGACGAATACACACTGGGCAACTCCACAACTATAGTAACATACAATACCTCCTGTTAGTTCGCAAGGAACAACCTGGTACCTTTAACTGTCATTCAGTGGTTCAATACTTATCCTGGGATGACTATATTTCTGGTAGTCATCCCCAAGCATGGATATTAATACAGCTCCATACATTTAACCAAGAACAGTAGATAGACCACGATCATACGACGAAGTCAGTGGGCCGAGGCTCTTCACTGTTGAAAATTGTTACGTCTTGCCGAACTGTAAAGGCAATATGACAGTCTTATAAAGCTATTTGGGAACAGTTTTGAAGCGCAACCGTGAAATAAGATGATGCTGGAGAGAAGAGCATAGGGCAGAGATAATCAGTTTTACAGTAGCTTGAACATCGTGAAGTGAATGTGGAATGAAAGATCGGTCACTGTAGTGAGTAGTGTAGGTGTTGGTAAAAGGGTGGACCGGAGGAAGCAGTGGTAAGGAGGGGGAGGGGCATCCATGTAGGAGTGGTGGGTGTGCATAATTGATCACGTGGATATCATGCGACTAGCTTATGTGGTTGCACGAGCTGGGTGGCAGTGACCGGTGGTCTGCATAAAATGACAAAGTAGAAAATCATGTGCCGTGTTGTGGGAGAGAACACCACCATCGGTAAATGAACTTTAAACCTAAACAGAACGGTGTGCATAAAAAAAATACACAGATGTAAATGACATTTAAATAACCTTAAATTATTACCCTGTAGGGCAACAACTGTGATTTTTATGATAACTAAAATACATTTGGGGATTGTCAACGAAATAGTCTGCAAACAATTTTCTTGTATGTTATTTACAATTATCATTTAACCACGAAACGGTTAATTATCATTAGTGTCATCGAAATGGTAATACAGTACAGGTGTATATGTAAATTTAAAATAACACCATTGGCATTACAAGGAGCGTGTGGACTTCCCCTCCACCCTGCAAGGAGTTTTCCTTGGGGATTTCCCTTGTCGAATAGGGTCTCATATCTTTATTTACATTGTCTCGACATATTCATTTCAGTATAAAAAGAAGCAAATACTCTGAGAATTTTGAATGAAAAACGTTATCAACCAAAGTTGCGGCCCCACGCAAAAGCAGCAAATTAAATGACCGAATAAAATACGATAATATGGCTTTCTGGATATCCGGAATCGGTAGTTTACACCATGCACACCGTTACTAGACATACTGTATATATAGATATACTGTACTGTACTGTACTGTGTGTTTGTGCGGATGCCGGGGTAATGAATATGACTGCCTATAAAAATACTGTGCTCGAGTGATGATGGTAGTGTACCTGTACATGACACGGTTGACTCCATTATATAAATACACTTTATAACGTGTGAGTGTTGGGGTAGGCGCGGTGCGGGGCAGTAAATAGTGGGGGTTCCAGAATACGTAAAGCTTACTACAGGAGGAGTTCCTTGTCAGACAGATGACCCGTAAATCCAGGGTACAATTGGTTACCTTCTTTTTCCTATAGCTTAACGTTAACATATTGCATTTAAATTATCGCACGGGATATAGATAGCGTGCGAACCTTTGAAATTCAGATCTTGGATGTTTAGAAATATGCACAACATACCTAAGTAGGAGCCGAGTCGGAGCCACTTTCTCCCGCGTGTAACACGTACGCCTGCCTCCTTCATACTGAGCCAGCTGCCACTCTGATACTCCGGGTGGCCCACTAGCAGGATGTGGGGGTGAAGCAACTGCAATAATGACTCTTCTCGTAGTGACGCACGCAACGCAGTGTTGCCTTTTCGTAGTTTGAAAATTTAATATATATATATATATATATATATATATATATATATATATATATATATATATATATATATATATATATATATATATATATATAATGTGTATGCATTTTTTCAAACTACGATTTTGTTTACTGCCGTTCCCTCACTCGCCCCAACCATACTGTAGAGAGAATAGTCGTGGACCCGTGGCTGGAACTTGGCTCGGTCGACCTCGAGCCTTTGCGATCATGTTGGTGATGCTCCACGCAGTGGCGACGAACCTCGGATCATGAGACAAATTGCTAGAACCACTTATTATTAGTATTACATGTTTTATTTACTCTATTAGTATGATTAATCTAGCCAGCAACAAACACAAGTGAATTAAGAATCACTGCAATTAACTTTAAACCTCCTCTTGTTCACACTTAGGCCAAAGTTTAACATGAACAGTATGAATGTTATCTGCATAATATAACACGAGGAAAATAATGGATATAAACTTAAGCTTCCCTCCTTGCTGCCCGCCTTCCCACCCCGCATTCTCCTTACATGACATCACTTCACCTCGCCTCACCAAAGACTACTCGGCAAAAGATGCGAGTTAATAGAAGTAACAGGGTCGGATTAATAAGGGTCTCGTGGGCCTAGGGATAATTAAGTCAAGAGGGCCTATCTCAGGCTATTAGTATAAGCTGAAGTATATAGGCTAATATGTTATGTATGTATGTATGCATGATTGTATATTATATATGTGTATGAATATATGCTTGTATGTATGTTTTATAGCTTGTTTATTAGGCTACGAAATAAAGTAGTGTCAATATTATCACCGATTATAACACTAGCTTATTTACATGTACTGTATATAATTATGGCAGTAATTGATTTTTAGTTTACATATCTATTACAATCCCTTCAGTACATATACACTATCATTAGCAAGTGTCATCAGTTATAAACTTCTTTAGTTTTTTGTTGCACTTTTTCTACGGTTCTTGAATTCTGGGATGACGTTAACTACTGTATTTCCAGACCCTTGGTCTGTGCTCCGTCTGCTCCGGGAGCTTTGATTTTTATTTATTTTTTTTGTTCAGGCAAGCTATTTTCTTTTTGATGATGTCTGTGATGCTACTATATTTCTTGGTTCATTTTCCACCTTCGAAGTATAGACATTGCCCTGGGTATTGGGATGGTATCCATCGTATCTTGTTTGAATCCTGATGCCAAATAATCGTTTAGGGCATCTGCTGTCCTTTAGAGGGCCAACAGTTTCTTCTGTTTCGTTTTGCTTCTGGTATATGCATAAAAGGACAGGGGATATTTCTTTATATTTTGGGCTAATTTCATCTAGAAACGTCATTCTGTTTTAAGTCTTAATCGGATTAGATTAGCGTCTTTATTCAGCGTTCTGACATTCCAAACAGTTACTGCACACTTTACACTGTTAGCCACGACCTTGGCATTTAAACCCGCGTATCTTGAATGTACTAGTTGCAAAACGTGGTTTTTTTAATGTTTTTATCACAGGCTCATTCATAAGTCGTTTAAATATAATTACATTCGTGGTTTTACATAGACGAGTGTTCATACCAATTTCTAGCAACAACAACAACAACAACTTGATGTGTTATAGATTTTTTCTAGAGAGAGAACAACTAAGGAACACCCGTCGTCGGATGCACTCTGCGCCTGCCAGATAACGGAAGCTCTAAACGTTTCACGCGAGATGAAGTAACATAAAGCAACTGAGATATTACACTTATATATAATTATTCCCAGACAAATTCACTGTATGAAATATATAATTACGAATGGTTCCTCAATAATTTACTCGAGGAAAAAAAATGCATATTTAACCAATTTCATACGTGTACAACCGTTATCCTATTTGACATTTATAATTATTGTTCAGTGTCAAGTGCTTCAACTATCCAAGAACATTTACTCGTTTTCCATTTTTTTTTTACCCCAACTGCATTTTTGATTGTCCAGTGTGAGGGTGTACAGTACTGTCACGTGGTCTCTCAGCGTGACGACAAAGAAAACATTTAACGCTGGTTTTGCTTGGGCTTGTCTTTGACATCTATTAGTCTTCAGTTTCCCCAGAGAATATTGTAGCAGATGTTTTTAACCTTGTCGTGACACACAGAGGCATTGTCTTGAATGTTGGGCTATGGCTATTATTGTGGAATGCATTTTTCTGTTTTAGGACTTTCATCTTCCATACATTATCTTATTGAGGTTGTGGAAATGTGTCGTCTGTCATGGTAGCATCATAGTCTGCAGCACAGTACTTTGGTGTTTGTTACTTTATTGAATACTAAAATATAATAATACATATTACTAATTAGAATTAATTTTATATATAATATGCATGCTTTAGCAGTATTATTATTTTTACATATAAATTATTTTTAAACATTAACATTGATAGAAAAAGTTATATATTTTGTATAGTTTTAATAGTGCAGTGGGTCAATCTCTTGTCCAACACACATATATTATTCAGCTTGTGCCACACTTTCCTTCAAGTTGTAGTAAGAGTCTGGTCAATACATAAGACATATTGAGAGATTATTTGCACCTAGGCCAAACTTACTCCTCACTCTGTAGTGACTCCCACCGAGTCTGTTGTTGTCACCAGGATCCCGTGTAAATTCTCACAGTACTGTCATCCGCAGGTTCTACTGAAGAAGGCACTGTTGGAGAAATAAACATTCAAGTGGACCTGGGGAACAAAGGCTCAATGTCAAGGGCGAGCGACCATTTCAGTGTTGTCAATGGCCAAGAATCCGAGGATTTATTTGCTGATTATGATGAAGAAGCAGGCTGTAATGAGGCACAGCAGAACAGTAAAAGTGAGACAGACTATGATGATAATGAGCCAGAAAATGACAGTGATGAAAGTGAGACCATGATTAACACGCATTGTCGTTATGAAGGAGAAGTATTGCCTGGTTCAATCATTAATGCTTTTAAGAGTGATGTCGAAGTAAATGACTTTATAGATAAGATTGAAAACAAGATTGTTCCGTACATGATCGATTTGGACGACGCTGTATAGGTATTAGACAGCGTGCAGGATAAACGCAACTTTTATTTCTTGACCATGGCAGGAATCATAAAAGCAAGATTATAAACTCGACGTATACAGGTGAGAATGTTGATCACACAATACTATAATAACAATTTGTTTGCAAAACATTAGTCATACATGGTTCTCGACAATACCAAGTCAGTATTATACCAATAAGGCAACAGAAAGGGAATGTTTCTTTTTGTGTGGGGGGGGGGGGATACTGTTATAACAAAATTATTTTTAACACTCACCAAACTAATGATGATGATTGAAGAGTAATCCTGTAGCCGTAGTCCAGGGTTGTGTCCTTTGGATCGTCCACCAGTTCCTCCTGAGGCACCAGGTGAAGCGACCAAGGTAGGTAGATAACAGGTAGCCAGCCTCACGCAGGCCCATAGGAATTCGCTAATTGGCAGCTCTACTCTGGAGATCGCTAAGCCACGCCCCTTTTGCCAATTCATGCGTTTTTAATAGCGTGGTATTATTATCTGTATAGATCCTTTCTCTAATCAAAATATACCCTCATAAAATGGTATTAATCAGATATATATTTAATAATATGTAATATAGTGTATATTGCCATGTAAATTATACAATAAGAAAATGTTTGACGAAATTTACAATAAAACGGGAACTCTGGTTGAATTGTAAAATATTCAATACATTTCTTCCCATTTTAAATATCCCGCTTCTACTGTTTGATATAACTGAGTGGGCGGAGCTTAATAAGTGATGTCATCGCTAGCCAATCAGCGACGTTGGATGGAATTCAGCGGTCGCAAGTAAGATATTTACATTTATTTTATATATTTAATCAGTGGCTCCAATTAAATGAAAACAAAAAATCTCCATTCCATACATTTATTGTACAAGTTTTAATACCATCATAAGGCTTCAAAAATACGTAAATAAAATTGTCATTTTTATTTTCATTAGCGTAGATCCTATGGGAGTGAGGCTACCTTTTATCTACCTACCTTGGAAGTGACCCTCTCAGCTCGTCTTGCTTGCTGCATACCCCCTCAGGCCACCTTTTTGAGACGTTATCAAGGAGGCTTCGAAGGTCATTCACCTTATCGTGGGCAAGAAGCCTCTCGTGGGGGGTACTTTTGGGAGAGCACCACCTTGGAGAATTCAAACTTATCCTTGGTCCAGCGTCCCTCTCCCCTTCATCAAGCGGACTGTAGGAATTCGTGGTATAATGTTGTCTAGCACTCAGGATGGATGGAAACTCTAAGGTGGTTTTCTTGTATAATATAAGTTATATGATAGACAGTCTGGTGCTGGAGGTGCCGTGTGGTGAGGAGCTGCTCAGTAGAGACGTTCGGTGAGTAGCGTGTCGAAGGAGGTAGATGTGCAGGAGCTTCGTTAGAGAAGATGTTGCCTGTTGCTGGCCTCCTGGTTGAATGAATGCTGACAGCGTGGAGCTTGCTGGAGGAGGTGTTGCTTGTTCAAGAAGAGAGACCAGAATGAATCTCAATGGAGAGACAGAGCTTATATACCCAGCAGCCGCGAGTCCTCTATGAGTCATGTTGGGAAAACCCGAGAAAGTCGCCGGTCTCTAGTTTCGTTGCTAGGTTACCGTACCATCTGGTGTCGCCGCTCGCTTGGTTGCTAAGGAAAGCGTCGCAGGTGGGATGCAGCTACGCAGTTTGTAGGGGAGACGTCCACTACAGGACCTCGGTGATGCTCGCGGCCACGTCGTGAGGGGAGTAGTCGTTCTTGACGACGAACCCCTCGTGGTAGCTGACGTCTATGACAAGCTGGGTGGCCCGGGCGAATCACCGTGTAGCATGCTCGTTGACGTGCCCTAGGCGGTCGCGCACGTTCAAAAATTCCTGACGCACCACACTGATCGTCGGGAAACCTTTATTGACGGCATAAGCAATCAAGGCCGCGTAGTGCTTGGTAGTATTGACGAAAGGGCAATTCCGGATCTTCTTTTCGATGTTGCCGAAGGGCCGTTCCCAGGGAAGGTAGGAGTGGCCCCTCTTCAAAAAAATAAACTCGACCCGGGCGAGGCGTTTGGCGTGAACCAGCTGCAGGGCCAATTGGGACGATGATGATGTTCTTGTTCTGGCCGCCACAGTTGTCGCAAAAGACCCTGAGCTTGGTAAAGGCCTTGCCGCACGGTCTGCACAGACTTGCAGCCACTTCAGGATACAGCTGGCCACTTCGTCAGCCCCTCGTCCGACACAAACATGTTAAAATCATGCCGGTTCATGTCGTAAAATGCAGTAGTTGTAGACCCACAGCTTCCTCTTGTAATTATGCCTTGCTTGCACGTAGAAGTGGGCAGGGGAGGGTCTGTTGCAAATCAATTGGAACATTCTTTTTGTCGCGATTTGTCGGGGCAGTCACCTCAGTCTGGCGGAGAAAGTCTCGAAGCACCTGTGCGACAACCTTATGCTCCCTCCTGGCGTCTTGCAGGAGTGTTGTGTCATGGCCGTCTTCCTGCAGGTTTTTTATCCGCCTCTGGGGGCGCTCTGTACACGTCGATCTTTGGTGCATCAAAAACGATGTTGAAGTCCCCGGTGTTCCTCTTCAGGGTACTGTTCATTCATCCATAGACTGTAGCTGCCTTGGAGCTCTGAGATGGAACCCCGCTCTCATGTATCGCCTGTGGGGACTGTGTGCACGGCTATAATGACTGGCTGTCACCGGCAGAGACCGTATGTGCTCGTGCACACGCTGCAAGCGGGTACCAGTGATGGCCTTACTGGAGGGTTGGTGTTCTCTCTTGTCGAGGACAGGAGTGCCACGCAGGGATTCCTTCCTCTTCCGAAGTAGTACGATCATCTTCCTCTCGAGGCCATGATTGGATGCAAATGCTTGCCGGCAGACTTTCAACTCGTGCTGGTTGGTGCGGACATAGAATTTGTACAGCACAGGTCTTTTGCTCACAGCAGCAGTCATATTCCTATTAACGGGCTCTTCCCTGATAAGTGACTGCAGGTAAGCATTCTGGTTATTGTAGTCACCAATAGCCGAGAAATTGTTGAAGATGACGTTTACGTTGTCTCTGCCGAGCTTGTGGAAGCATCCATCTTTGCACTCGGGGCCTACCTGCCTGGCCGTCACCACCTTCTTGGTCCAGTAACTGATGTACTCTTGGCCGAGGTTTCGCTTCCTCTTGGCCACATTGTGCGTCCACTCTTTAACATCCCTACCCTGTTTTTTAATGTGGATACGCGTCTGGGGTTGCGTCACATTCACCACGTGGTGCCTACAAAATTTGTAAGTAATGTACACAGGATTAATTCTACTGCCAGACAGTGTTGATAAGGTGTACGTGCTGTGCACTGAATTGAACCTTATGCTTTCTATGACAGAGCTGCAGGCTCTGGTAACCCTTCCCATCAGGGGGCTGCCACTCCACAAATATTTGGATGCAATTTGAAAAGATGTTTACCTTAGTTACTTGTATTTGAAAATCATTGTGTCAAGTCAGTTAATACGCGTGTTTTATATAGTAAGGTACAGTATTTTAATTAAAGTAGTAATTATGCATAATAATTCACAATTATCATCCTGATTTCAGCCTGATGGGGAGTGAGGAAAGTCCAAAGAGCTTTGAGTTTCACATCTGTGCGAAGGACTACTGCTTTGCCAGTGATGACCAGCACATTGGTGTGGCTGTGCTTCAGCTTAGATATATTGTTGACCAGGTATCATTATTTCTCACTTTGTTTTATTTGAACACTTGAATATTACATAAATAAGTCATTTATATCTGTGTTAGTACAGTATGTGACAAACTTAGGGACACTGTTGAATTTTCAAAATACTAATGAAAAAATTATTTGTTGGATAGTCATGTAATAAGCATTTTGTTATATATAACATAATATTTAAATTATTGTCTTAGTCTGCCAGTGGCAGATACTCTTATGTGCGATGTGATTTGTCATTTTCTGAGAGGTGTTTGGCGTTTCTTCAGGGCTCCTGCGCGACATGGCTTTCCCTGGATAAGCGATGACACATGGATGGACAGTGGTGAGAATTCCGAGTCGACGCACCAACGGCGAGGTAGCAAAGAAATTTATCAAGCTCAACCACCCATGACCCAGTAGACAGATTGAAGAGGAAGCTTTATGCTCTAGTGCAAAGTTTGACTCCATTATCCAGTGATGGATGACAATAGTCAGGTTGTGTAAGCTATCAGTAAAAGGGGAGGTAACTCTGGTTGTTCTAGTGAGGGGCTCCCGTTAAAGGACACACGAACACTGGAATAGCCATCACAGGATCATTGGAGGGCCCTTCGTCCCCATGTGGCCAATTGCAGAGGTGACCACTAACGTCCAAGGAGACTCATTCCGTGTGAAGTTTAATGTAGGAATTTAATCCAACTTTAGACCAAAAGGTGGATTCATCGGCGCCTGTCGATGACGTCAGAACGTCGCCTTGAAAGTAAAAGTTATCCAAAAGAAAGACACGCAGAATGACCCCGGTATGACGCGGCCACGAACGACAACGGGAGGGAATGTGTGATACAGTATTGTGAATGATTACCCTGGTCTACATGTGTGTTCTCATTTCAGTGGACTACAAGTTCTCTGCTCTTCCAAAACCTTATTTAAAAGTTTGTAAAACAGTATTTTGGGTCATTTAAAGATGATGGTGTTCATTCTGTATAATAAACTATTGGTAAGATGTACACCAGTTGCAGTAATATATTATTAAGAAGGAAGTGTCCCAGTAGCTTCGATTCTCAACATGGTTTAATGTCACGTTACTGTCCCATTTTCTGTGGTGGTGTGAAAGAAAACAACTGAACCGTAAGGGATATTTTCCCATTTTCTGTTAAATGGTCATAGGATAAGTCTAGTGTTTTGTGCTCTTTAAGCGAGAAAGTAATGGATATTTGAATTAATCACATGATTTAAGTTGTGAGCACTAACTCTTATTTTTGTATGTGATATTGGCACATATTATCAAAAGGTGCATATTCATATTTCGCCTTTGACCTCAGATTCAGATTGAATAAGCAATCCATTGTACATATCATTTTACCATTAGGTTAGTCCTCGTCTGTAATAATGAATAATTGGGTGATTGTTATGTTTTTCGTTTTAGTTTAACTGGGTCAGGTCCACTACGCTGGAGAGGGAATCCTGAGGATACGGTGCATTTATTTGTCTCGAAATTGGCAAGAGTAAGCCTAAATTGGTTCGTAATTAAAGCCCATTTTCCTACTCTCAGCGAAGAGAAAATGTCTTTTAGTTGCGGGCTTTCTTAGGCTGTGGCATTTGTTGCAGGTGTGTGTGTGTGCGTGCGCGCGCATTTCGTCTGTACTATCAGTATGTTTTCTTAACAAACGGGCCCACATTGGAATGTTTGAACTTTTGCAGTGATAGGTAACCAGTATAATGATGACTGGGTAGCTGTAGGTATCCATGGATATTTTATACAAGGTGTGGAGCATAGCAGAGCAACAGAGGTTACTGAGCGCAGGTCAAAATGATGTCCAGATGTTTTGTAAAATGATAATTGTAAGCATTATTAGTTAAATTGTTACAATAGGAATTGGTCACTTGTTTGTTCATAATTACTGTATAAGAAAACAATCATTTATTCACAAAACTGTAATGAGAACTTTATAAAGGGAAGAAAATATATTAATGTGAAACAGTAGCTTAAATTTAGGGGATGACATATTTGGTTGTTGGTAAACAGGTAATATAACAAGGTAAAAATGAAATAGAAATCATATGAAATATATTCATTGTTTGCAAATATTTCATAAAAAAAATAGATTTAGAAATTGAAGCCAGTGGGATTTTACAATTAGTCAATAATCCTCAGTAACGATGTTGTCCGCTGCTCCTAGGCGTTGAGAAACTAATGGGGGTGTTAATGAGATGGAAGCACTGGGGAGGCCAACGGTAAGGTGAGGCAATCTAGAAGTGACGATAGAGAACCGGCAAAGGCGAGGGACTTGAGCGGGGGACGAGATGTGCCCTTATAGGCCACTGAAGGAGAAAGTCCTGTTTGTGAGAGTATATAGACATGATAGAGGAAAGATATGTCAGGGATATTTGAAGGAAGGGGGACTACTTAAACATAGGAATTTGTTAAGGTCTTTAGTTTATTTCCATGGTGGTCCCTTGCTAATTTGTTGAATTAACTATGGGAGAACCACGATCCCATTTTTGACAACTTCCCGTGCCCATAACAGGTCCTGCGGGGTCCACGATGCTTTAGTTGAATCACCACAGACCCGGGCCGGACGGTGGTGTGCAGACTTTAATGTGAATATAGTCACGTTTTCTCTTACCCTCTCGAATCGTCATATATAACTGGGTATACAGTACCATCTCTCCGAGCGTCGTACCACTGCACTGCCAAATCAGATGTTTTATTTTTCACTTAGTATCACAATATAGATACTGTCCTCTGACGATTCTCTTGTTAATGTGAGTGGGGTCAAAGACGAAATTGTTTTGGTTTTTGTTGGTAGATGTGAATGAAACATCGTTGTTTTGTTTTTCCTTTTTTGGTACAGCTCAGATTAGTCTTTTATCCCAGTGGTGAATGGTTATTGGCATTCATATTATTATATATTAATTCCTAAGTGAATCGTAGTTTGTGTAATTGGTTTTGTTAATATTATTCCTCCGTCTGAAAATAAAGGCCGTTTGAATAAATTCTGTTTCTTTCTTAACCTGTATCATTGAATAAGATGTTTTTCAGACTTTTCTACTTCACGTTTAAACTTGACTCTGCTTTAATGGAAAAAAAAGTATTGAATGTGTAATGGACAAGAAATACTCTGTCACGTTCGTAGTGTGATACGGTATACATAATGTGTAATTAAAGTTTAAAGTCGTGCTTACAGTAGTCGAGCTAAGTTTATTTCGCGGGAAACGGGGCCGCACCACCTTCCCGGCAGACGACGTTTTCCAACAAACTCGCCGCTGCAGCCGGAGGTAGTACAAAGGATGGTGTAGGGGTATCGAGATATTAATGTTGTCTAGCACTCAGGATGGAAGGAAACTCTAATGTGGTTTTCTTGTATAATATATAAGTTATATGAAGACAGTCTGGTGCTGGAGATGCCGTGTGGTGGGGAGCTGCTCAGTAGAAGACGTTCGGTGAGTAGCGTGTTGAAGGAGGTAGATGTGCAGGAGCTTCGTTAGAGAAGATGTTGCCTGTTGTTGGCCTCTTGGTTGAATAAATGTTAACAGCTAGGAGCTTGCTGGAGGAGGTGTTGCATGTCCAGGAAAATGGGCAGAATGAATCTCAATGGAGAGACAGAGCTTATATACCCAGCAGCCGCTATGAGTCATGTTGGGAAAACCCGAGAAGTCGCCGGTGAATAGTTTCGTTGCTAAGATACGGTAACATCTGGGGACAGCTCTCGCTTGGTTGCTAGGCAACGGCACGTTGGAATGTGATAGCAGGTGGTGGCTGCTACGCAGTTTGTAGGGGAGACGTCCACTACAATGGCCCCTTGAAACCCCAAATGACACGTTCAGGTAAGTTTTAAGGGTGTTTTTTATGGTCTGTCATGTAAATTTCGTAAGTGAAGAAATGTGCCGTGAAGAGCATCTTATGGACATCAACAAAACCCCCATGTTGACACCAGCTCAGCTGTTATGTATTCTTACCTGGTATACTTTTTCCAGTGCATTTACAGAGTGTATCAGTACTAGATGGAGATACGAATCAATTTAGAAGTAATGACAGTGTCTGGACTTCTCTTTGAGAATACATTGGGCTATATCATTTATATTCATTAATGGGTAAAATTTAACTTTAACCATCGTCAGTTTGGGTAAATTTAAAGTTTTGGTCATCTCTGTATTTAAATATGTACAGTGTTTTTCTGATGGTTTGCGAGGCGTTACGATTCGACCTTCATTTGCATGGGAAATCACAAGTTTTGAGTGACTACCCCCCCCCCCTCTCCTTACTGGTGTATGTTAAGCTAATCTTATAAGTTATCATACCGTAACCTAACCTATAATATGACTTGTATTTTGTTATGCGATCGAGAAAAAATGCATCAGAAATTCCTTATAGATAATGTGTCTTATTGTTTAAAGTACTTAATCCCATAGTTAGAATCTTAAGGCTCCCCAGATGACCCAAACCCCAATAATACCAATGTTGTTTCGAATGTTTATACTATGAAATTTGTAGTATGAGCAGCTAATATCCATTGAATTAGTTAGTGATTAGTTGCACAAAGCACAATTAATTATCTAATATTTATTTACATTGCCGAGAAGATTGGACAACTACTTCTAGGGTTCATCAAGGCAGATGAAAGAAACTGACCAAGAGCAGGTGCACAGGGGTACTATAGTGACAGCACTAGGATCCTTCTTCAAGGAATAAAATATTGAAAAGGTGCAGGATTCTGAAATGGGAAGTGTTATCGAGCAGCAAGCCACCATATCTTTCCTGGTACCGTGATGAATATTTTGCCTGGTGAAGATTAGTCGGTACTCTGGCACAAAGCACGAACGACTCTGTCCTTTCCTTGAACATACAGTAGTATATGACCAGAAGTCATGTATTTCTGCTGGTAACAACAATGCTGGCTGCCTCTAGGCTCCCTCTAGTCTGACGTCACAGCTTCTCGCAGTCACGTGACTTAAGGTACTTTAACCCCCTTTGTTTTTTGTTAGTTTTTGGCCCAATTTATTGAAGAATATTATTACCAAAGCGAATTTAAGCATTTTCTTCACCCACTGACCAGCCATCTTACGAAAAAATTCCGACCGACAACTCGTCTATTCCTCGAAACTCTTCTGAGCACTGCTAGTGACTCCCTGCCATAGTAACAAAGACACGACTTGTTCATATCTTCAGTGGGGTGACTGTTCAAATGTAAAATTACCACAATAGGATGAGGTGTACCACACCTACGGTTCTCAGCACCCATTAGAAAACCAAATCCCTTTAACCAGCAAGTAAACCTCCACTGGTTGGAACAGGAGATGTATTGTTACTCACAAATCTCAGTGGAACCATCAATACCTTTAACCACAACACACACGCCTACATCTCTCAAGACTCAGAGGTGCATTACTTTATTCGTTTTACCATCTGGGCGGTCAGTCACTTTTATTATGCACCGTTGGCAATTACTAGGCTTATACCGATTCTAAAATGTATGAAAATTTGCAAGTTTTGTTCAGATCTGGTCTTCAATGAATTCACACATGGTGCTGTCTAACACCGGCTGGTTGTCCAGGTCACAAATCTCATTCCCAAAAAAGTTCTCCCCTGATGTTTTTGAACTTACAGCTTCTTGAACCCGAGGTTAGTTTTGTTTTTATCGCACATTTTCTCTCAACTTCAGCCCTGCCCACTGTAGACTAGTAATGTTTGGCAATTCTATCTATTCAAATACTCTAAAAACATTTCCGATGGTAACGCTATAGAAAAGGGGTCTTAGAATTGTCGGAATACCCGAATCCCAAATTTAAAATCCCGAAATTCGCTACGTGAATGGAACGATAATTTTACCACAATTTTGATTCTCTTTAAATTGAGATTCAATCAATATTTAGCTCTGTAATAGCCCATTAACACTTGGGTCAGAGGTTATTTCATATTTGTATTTATAGGTTAGGTTTCCCAAGGTCTTGTCTGGTATTATACCGCTACTGGTGGTAGGGAGGTTCAGTTATTACCGAGATAAAACTAGTTAAGGTCACTAGTCGTTTTTCGCTCATTTTTTTGACAAAATCCACTGTATTTTACTTTCAAATATTAGAAAAGTAAAAACCCGCACTTAATGTATTTATTTGTCCATTGCGTCATGTTGTGAAGATGTCCATCATCATTTAAAAAAAAAAAGACCGGTATTTCCATAGATGTAGAAGCGTTTAATGCCTCTAAATATCTATAATATTTTGTGCAAACGTTTAATACGGGACGTAATCCAGATTTTATTGTGCTCAAGGTTTTGATATAATAAGTAGAAAATTAAGATTTGTCATTTCATACGATACAAGTGGAATATAATATAAAAATAATTTTATTTTTTATTGGTTACATATATATATTCATTATGTATTTAAACCGTAAACACAATTCACTTAACTTTCATATAAAATGGAACATACCATTTTACAGGGAATAGTCCACCTGGGGGCGGGGATGAGGAAAAAAAAGTGAGACTACATTAATATACACAACGAAGAATACGGAAAACCAGCTTTTTGAAGCCAAAATTGTTTGTAGTTAAACACCTATGTAGTGGCCCGGATTACTAGGAAACAATCCCATTCTGAAGCTGTGTAGAAGATCCGCTTGTCACGATCTGCGGTAGAGCGATTCTTACGATGGTGTGCTTCATTCAGAAAGGCAACTCTTGTAGCATCTCAATTGTCCTCTAAGTTGTAAAGGTCACACGGCAGCTTGCTTGGTCAGCTCAAGGGGTCTCACGTTAACGTAACCAGCGTGTTCTAGAAATTTCGAAGATAAAAGGAATGGCCTTAACGTAAAGAGCTTAGTAAAAGATTACAGTTTGTTAATACTCAAAGACTAATGATATTTAAATTAGGTCTACGTATTCACAATCAATCAAATAACTTCAAGCAAAAATCGATACAAGACCGAGCAGAGTTTAACACTACAGCAGTACTTACACCAGATGTTGTATCCCCGTCGTGCACCAGTGTTCTGTGTTCACGCTCGTGTACCAGGCTTTATATACAGGCGGCCCACACTCCCTGACCAATGAGAAGCCGCTTTGTACCGCTAAGTTTTACCCAATGGAAACATTACCTTGTCATGACGTCAGGGTCACACCATGCCGGAGCGAATCGCCCAACGCCGGCAGGTTTTTCAACCCGGCGGTAACAAATGACTGATGCCATGTAAATGATTGAAAGTTTATTGTGACATAAAAGAAGTGTATAAGTTGATAACCAAATATTATGAAAACGTATTTACAGCCATTTATAGTTATAGGTCTCAAAATGTATTCGCTGCCTCACTTATCTTGGTAAAGAAAGTGTGAATGTATTACAACAGCAATATTGGCCTCACTTTAAGTGTGAGATCATTGTTAAGAGATACATACATCCAATTAGTAGTTGTTATATTAAAAAGTCATAAAATTAAATTGAAAAGCATAAAAAACTAAAATGACGACTAAAACAAGATAAATAAATCAGTGAGTACAATGATAGAGAGAAAAAAACCAATGAACAAACCATTGTGAGTTGTTAATTATTAGCCTTTACTTGAAAATAAGCATACAGCAGAAACACTATAAATGACAAAAGCTTTTAAATACTACAAGTGAGTAAATAAAGATACGCACTATATGTTACAACAATGAAGAAAAAGACATAGCCGTTAAAAGAAAGTATATACAGTAATGAAGTTGAGTCGTGAGTGGTGTTTGTAGTCGGCGGATGAACACAATCTACTATACTCGTAAGTTTCCCCCGAGGGGAGTTAATTACACCAGTTATAGGTTACGAGCGTACTGTTACCTCTTTCACTTACATATACCAGTTTCGAGTTCACATAGCAATGGTTAGAGATATATTGACTATTACTGATAAAGTTGAAACATGTACATGATTCATATGGTCAGGGCTCACCCACTACCTTGAAGAGTAAATGTGGCACCTGAATATACTTATACTTTACATTTATTTCAAGGAAGTATTTATATAACATTTAGTGTCATCTGGATTAGTGCACGTAACATGGTGTTAGTAAATACATATGGGAATGTTACCATGATTTCCCCTTTTTTTTTTACATGTTATAAATATATACGTACAGTATTTTAGGGGTAGTTAATTACACATTGCCCAGTTCCTGATTTTAGTAAATTCAGTGTTCATATTTCTCATAAATGAATGGAAATGTGAGTGACTGGCAGAGAGACTATTATCGTCTGCTAATAAGTTGTATATTACGAGTTAGCTGCAGCTGACTAGAATATCATTAATGTACACCAACTGAAGAAGAGTGAGGTTGTGATGATAATTATAACAGGCAAACATACTGTGCGTTTGGGTATATTATCGTTATTTCCACCTAAGGAAACTTTATTGACTAGGCTGCTGACACTGTGACTTCCTATTATAATTTTTTTGTCCCTTTACTTATGACAAATTCTGTGTTTCATTTATGTTTACGGCGTTGTTTAATGTGAATACCCAACAAAGCAGTTTAACCTCGGATTGTTGTAGAGGGATATGCTCCTAGTTTGGTTGTTACGGTGTTCGGGGTCTCGAAGATTCACAAACCACGAATCTGGTGGTTTTGAGAGCCAGAAATTGACCCAATATTGAATGAAATCGATTTTCTTAGACTTTGTTTTAATAATAGTGAATATTACACCAGAGTTCTCAATGTCCTCTCGTACTTTGAGTTGAAGGTGTGGACTAAAATGTTGAAAATTTAAAGTTTTTCGAACGAACGGATTCACTGAGCAGAGAGCGAATGATTTAACGGTTCACCGGCGAGTCGGTGGCAAGCGAGGGTACCTCGGAGGTACAACCAAGCGGGCACTTTAATAGCCGTCGGATCTTTGAGCGTGGTGGTGGGTGGAATACGCGTTTTGTGTTGTTATTGAAAGAACTATATATACCAAATTGTGTTTGGACGTTCTGTTATTAGTGGTTGTTTTGCTGTTCTTCAAAATGTGCTTATCCCACTCGAACACTGACCCACAGCAGGGCTTAAGGGGGGGAAATAATAATAAAAATTATGACCTAATAATTACTAGAAATAATATTAAATAAATAGAAACGTAAACATAAAGCAAGAGTGAGAAACGATATACAGTATGTATGTGGTTTGTTAATAGAGTTGAAATTCTGAATTTGTGTGTACAGTAAATGGGGCATTAAGTCAGATGAGCCACAATTTTCGTGATGCCATATGGCAGCAGGGTCTGCCATAATATCACGTTGTGTTTACAATATGTTTCCAGGCAGTAGTACTTTCCTGTTTGATAGCTTGCTACTACCTCCTACACGTGAATGGGTTTGTTAAACTCTTTTCCGAGGCCTCTTAACACTAGTGTGACTTGTGTGAGAGGCCTCTGAAATGCATTTAGGAAACCCAATTTATGTGTGGGGAGGTTGGTAGCTCTTGAACGAGTTCACAATTCATTGAACTTCCCCTCTAAGTACAGTAGTTTTATTCATTGAAATTTTAAGTGATTTTATTTTTAAGTGCTAGTGTGTTTGATTAAATTGTTGGGTCGTGTTGCGTATCTCCAACTAAGCGTGTTGACACTTAGGATTTCGCTGAGTGACAAATAGTACAATGAATTTATAGAGGAAAAAGATAGTGTTGATGTGAATGTGTAAATCGATGAAGTAACTTTGTTATTCGCGATTAAAGATTGAAATATTCTTTCGCAATTTGCCTGGAGGAATAGGCTGTTGTACGAACGTAAAACCACCATGTACCAAGATTTATTCAGAAAATATAAATTATTCCTGTTGATGATTGCGATTGAACGCCCATAGAACGATGAGAGTATTACTGTTCCTTCAGCTAGGACATTTCGGTGATAAGTGAGCGCTGTGGAAAATCTGAAATAATTGGACAAGATTGGAAGCTGCAGGTATGAGTGGAGAAGTAATGCACGACATTGATGCCACAGTTTTGTGTATATTCGAAATGATTGGTTGTGCATATGATCCACCATATGTATATATAGTGATAACCGTGATACCAAGAACCCGTTGAGAAAAAGTGGGTCAGAAAAAAGTGAAAATTCTTCGACGGACTGGAGATAACGAGGGTGCCAGCGAGATGAAGACCAGCAGGACAGGTAAGTGATTTGTTGAGAAAGTGTTAGAAATTTTATACAGATTTGACATTAAGTACAATATTGACACGGCACCTGATGTTGTATACATTTATCTCGAGGAATTATAACATTTAGTATCCGCTGGTATAGTACACGTAATTTGGTGTTTCCTGGACAATCTATTTTTTTTACTGTATAGATATTTTAGTAGAGTTCATAATTATACAGTAGGTCCTGGGATAAATGGGGAAGCATTTGAACATGGCTTGTTAGCGTGAAACAAGGAATCGGGATAGTGTTTGAACAGCAAATATATAATTATTGGAATGGTATTGTCTATTTACGTGACAATAGGTTTTGAGGGAAAGTTACAAAAATATTGTGAGTGATATTTTTGGGCGACGTTTTAGGGGAGCGTGGTATTTGGTGGGATAGGATCATAGGTGGTGTGAAGATGTTCCACACCTGTACATTTTTATACAGGTCTGGGGATAATAATTAATTGTGTTGGTGTTTTAATAGTGTTAGTGATAGTGTTGTGTTAATAGTGTTGGTGTTGTGTTAATGGTGTTGTGTTAATGGTGTTGGTGTTGTGTTAATGGTGTTAGTGTTATTGTTGTGGTAATAGTGTTGGTGTTGTGTTAATAGTGTTGGTGTTGTGTTAATGGTGTTGGTGTTGTGTTAATGGTGTTGGTGTTGTGTTAATGGTGTTGGTGTTGTGTTAATGGTGTTGGTGTTGTGTTAATGGTGTTAGTGTTGTGTTAATGGTGTTAGTGTTACCATTCTTCGTCTTATATTAGTTTAGTGTTATTATTGTTCGTCTTATAATAGTGTTATTGTTAGTGTTATTATTGTTAGTCTTATAATAGTGTTATTGTTAGTGTTATTATTGTTAGTCTTATAATAGTGTTATTGTTAGTGTTATTATTGTTAGTTTTATATTAGTGTTATTGTGTTATTGTTAGTGTTATTATTGTTCGTCTTATAATAGTGTTATTGTTAGTGTTATTATTGTTCGTCTTATAATAGTGTTATTGTTAGTGTTATTATTGTTAGTCTTATAATAGTGTTATTGTTAGTGTTATTATTGTTAGTCTTATAATAGTGTTATTGTTAGTGTTATTATTGTTAGTCTTATAATAGTGTTATTGTTAGTGTTATTATTGTTAGTCTTATAATAGTGTTATTGTTAGTGTTATTATTGTTAGTCTTATAATAGTGTTATTGTTAGTGTTATTATTGTTAGTTTTATATTAGTGTTATTGTGTTATTGTTAGTGTTATTATTGTTCGTCTTATAATAGTGTTATTGTTAGTGTTATTATTGTTCGTCTTATAATAGTGTTATTGTTAGTGTTATTATTGTTCTTATAATAGTGTTATTGTTAGTGTGTATTATTGTTAGTCTTATAATAGTGTTATTGTTAGTGTTATTATTGTTAGTCTTATAATAGTGTTATTGTTAGTGTTATTATTGTTAGTCTTATAATAGTGTTATTGTTAGTGTTATTATTGTTAGTCTTATAATAGTGTTATTGTTAGTGTTATTATTGTTAGTCTTATAATAGTGTTATTGTTAGTGTTATTATTGTTAGTCTTATAATAGTGTTATTGTTAGTGTTATTATTGTTAGTCTTATAATAGTGTTATTGTTAGTGTTATTATTGTTAGTCTTATAATAGTGTTATTGTTAGTGTTATTATTGTTAGTCTTATAATAGTGTTATTGTTAGTGTTATTATTGTTAGTCTTATAATAGTGTTATTGTTAGTGTTATTATTGTTAGTTTTATATTAGTGGTATTGTTATTATTGTGTTAGTGTTTTTATTGTGTTAGTGTTAATAGTGTTAGTGTTATGTTAATGTTATTATTGTTAGTCTTATATTCG